GTCCGATCACAAACCTCTTAAGCCGGCAACATCCTTAGCTACTATTTAACTCATCAAACACCAGAACCTACATGATTCTCAGCCCATATTATCGATCCCTGACTTTCCCCAAACTAGTGAAGTAAAAGTGAGTCTAAAGAGTAACTCTCGCCAGTTAAACTGAGTGTCCGATTGATAAAATTGGTAAATTTTGCATCAAAGTTCACGTGGAATTTACCGCGACACTAACAACTGTTCATGTCATTTCCATAGACATTATTTCAGAGTTGTACTACTTTTGATTACAACCTATGCTCTCCATGATAACCACATGAGCAGCACTAACTGTTTATCATCCTGTAAGTATTTATTTAGCCAAAAGCATTGTACAACACCATATCACTTATATTTGTAGTACATAAGCTCAGTCGATTTCGACAATTTATAATCACTCTTTTCCAAATAAGTTGGTTCGTGCATTATGCCAAATTCCATGCTTGTAGCTAACTCGTATGCACTATCAGCCGGCAAACAATAATATAAATAATTATTTATTGTACTTCAAATCACTGAGTCTAAATCATGTGTCTTACGGACCCACACACAATCAACAAATTACTGTTAGCTATCCGTAGGAAATTCACATGATTGTTACCGTTTTGATGTTCGGAAATCATTTTTTGATAATAATTCGTATGTATTGGTAGTTTTATCAAATCCTGTCACAGTTATGTAATAAAGAAGGTCAGGAAAATCTCTCAACTAAATAAACCATAGTAAACAAGTCAGACTGAGACAATGGTACGAATTCTTCCTCTCTGCGGTTGCATTTTCGTTTCTTCAGTTAGCCTACTAGTGCAGATGCAGTTGGAAATCCACTCATTCCAGCACAAACGTCAACCGGCTTTCTAATTTACACCAAAGGTAATACCATTATCAACATCGATACACTATTCACTGATTTTCTATTTCTAAGCATACCGCCCACAAGTTTAGCTTTTCAATCATCGGTTGTTATTGTACATCTTAATGTGGCTTGTTCAAACATCTTTAAAATAAATCACTCATCATCATGATAATCTCACTTTTTTGCCTCTTAAATAATATTCACGAAGATTTTCATTTTGAGCCTGCTGAGAATTAAACTAAACATTTTGGAATTGTTGCACGTATTTCTCGATCAGTTGCTGCCACCTTCTTTTTGGTTTATCTTTCGCCATATCAATACCTAGGGATTCTTATAATTGATTTGGCAACGCCCGGCGAGCGACAGTTCAACTCGGCTTCGTATCGAGCCATCGTCACATTGATTGTGGTGGGAACGTAGTGTAATGGTACTGGTTCCTAAACGCACGATTCTGGAAGCTGAACATATTATTGCTGAAAAGATTTACATTCAAAATGTAACGTGGAGAAGGTCAGCAGCAATGAACACAGCAACATGGATTGTCTCGGTCATTCATTTGATGTCACATAACCTCACACTTATTGTTTCAAACATTACTCTTCGCTCAGCTCAAATGTGTTTTTCAGAAGTGCTAAACGTCATATTACTGATGATCGCGATCGTACAAACCAGTACAGACAGTGAAGTGACTTCCACATAATATCTTATATATTAGGTAACCAAATCATGACAAATCTACTATTTTGCGATAAGGTCTATTATTATGGTAGTACTAATACCAAAGTAGAACATAATACATATTATTAACTGTAAAAAAACAAAAGATGACCAAAATACAGAGCGTAGAACAAAGCAGTAGCAATGATGTGGTTTGTAAATTTCGGAACTGGCCCATAACACGCCACCAGCATACTTCTCTGATTGGTTGCCTTAGATGGAAGAGGGAATTTCAATCTTGATAAGTTACAAATTAAGTTCTAAATAACAAGAGAGATTAATAATAACAACAGTCTCAACAGAGTAATTGTAAAGGAATTCTACAAGTCAATAAAAAGACATGTAGTGTCAGATCGTAGATCGCCAGTTCAAGTTTCAACGAGGCATCCAGCACAATCCTCTTATTTCAAATATATGATGGTGATGATTCAGGTAATAACGTGCTGGATGATGATATATGACTAGTAAATTAACTTAAAAACTCCTCAACACCCGAGCTTCTTAATGGCATAGCATCAGTCTGAGAAGCGATTTCACGGAATTCGACGCTCAATATAAAAATCAACATAGGCGCCCAAAAGTGTTGTCCCCTCCTGGTGCGAGAAAACTAACAGTGGTCGATTCATCATGGCTGGATTAGGAACGATTTACAACATTTAACTGCACTTACCGCACTGCAATTCTCGGAATGTTCCTAAACCAGCATATTTCACCATCGAAACTTAGGTTTCTCATCCTTGCATATAGTCAAAGAAATGACCCAAAATCATCATTCAAGTTAAAACCTAATTAATTTGAAAAGCACAATCCTAGAAGGTTGAAAAATAATCATTCAGGAAAACGTCCTTTCCCTTAACGAAACCAATCATGCTTCGGGATATCTATAGCACTGCCTGTGGGAAAATTTGCTGCCTACAATAAAGCCATTCCACACAAGCTGAAGTTTGAGGACAATGAGTAAGTCTTGATGAGGTGACGTGATTTGACTTCGGAAATACCGTTAATGCAGTCCAAAACAGTAATATTTACTAATAGTGAAGAGTTTTTGAGTTGCAGATACCTCTTTATGTTAATCCAGGTGTTTCTTTTCGATACTTGGAAGAATATGGAGGTAGATATAGTTTCTTTTGGAAAAAGGTACTTCGCGCCTCACGACAAGACTTGGCACTAGATCTGATGTTGTTCGCACTAAATATTAACGTACTTTCGCGCATCACCAGACCTCGAATGTCACTTCACACTGACAGTGCTAAAGTATAGCGAAAAGTTGCAGAGTACGATGATATTTTTCACTTTGAGATAACATTGATTCTTTACTACGTTAATCTAAACACATGTTTAACACCTACCAGTGCATTTAAGTATATCTACATATGCGTCGAACACAGCCTCAGCAGCAACTCGTCGATGGTCCTAACTATTAACGGCCTGAAGGTTTCAATACGTCCTGAATTTAGAAAAACAGCTTTCTGTCATTCAGTCGAAGTCAAAAAAGTTAGGCCAAATCCTTCAACAGGCCAGGTGCAGCAGTGATCAGCAATCAATAAGTGTGTTACGACATGCATAAGAACGCTTTAAAACATCACTGATTATTCCAGTGTTTGCTATTCAACAACCACTCGTTCCTGAGATACTTCAGAACGTTTAATTTAGCCACTCTCTTCTTGTAATTCAAATGACAAAGTAGAATGTATGTTATATGCTACACCGAGCCTAAAAATTTCTCAGAAACTTCATATGGTGTAGGACGGATGTAACGATCTGCTTGTCGATGAAGTCCCCAGTTTTTATTGAATTAGGTTATTCTTAGTTATAAAAGGGCATAATTATTGCGATATAACTTCTGAATCTGGGGGATTAAAATGTTGGCTTATAATGAATGCTATCAAGAAATAAGACTGAACAATATTCCCCAGTACCTACAGAACTAAAGTAAATCTCAAATTGTGTTTTTGAAGTATACAGAAGTACCATTATCAAAGACACTAGTAGGATTTACCAGAACTTGGTTCCAACTACGAAAATGCGTCATCTGTTTCGTGTTCTGTGAAGAATGGATGCTGCTCTGGTTCATTGTTTCACTGAGTTGCAAACGTGATAATATAAGGGTGAGAAGGACTGTGAACTATACAATACATTAAGATCATCGCACCTTTAATTCATCTATGACCCGAATTTCAAGTTTTAAGTTGAGCAGAGCAGATCTCTTTTTTAATTGGATGACCATTCCAACTTCTTTTCTCTAATTTCACTTCATTAAATATATATCCCGTTTAAAGTGAGGAAACATGGTACAAACACTTTCTCAGTGTGATGTCTTGAATAAGCATTGTAAACGACTTACTATAAAATCTTAAGAAAAACAGACAACTGAAGCATTATGTGAGCTGATATTCGGGTCCTAGACAATGTGATAATGAATAACCTATTATGTTCTAGGCAGACATATTAAATTGGCTAATTTTTCGCATTCTGCTTTTAATAATGTTGAAACTGAGGAGCCTTAAGATGGTTTAATTGTGTATCCTTACTGAGTCATTTTGAAATGTAATAGTAACAGCAGGACCTCTTAACTCCCTGGTGATCCTGAAAGCACTGATTTAAATTATTTCGGGGACCTGGGTTCTGGGTATATTTTTGCTGGACAATATAACGTAGTCTTGAGATGGACTCCTGAAGTGCTCTGACTATCACTTTAGGCCAAGCAAACAAAGCAGAGTTCTGGTGGCTTATATTATCCTCTTTATGTGGTCCGAAGACCACTTCATCAGATGTAAACTACTACTTATGGACCCCAGCCTTAACATAATAAATTTTTTTTCGTGATCTTTAAAGTTTTTGTCAGAAAATTCGGAAGCAAAGCCAACCGGACACTTTGCAGAAGCCTAAGAGGCCTGATTTCAGTTGATCGTCGTGACCTACTGAAAAAGTCCATGTACCTCAAGCAGTCAACATTTTTGTACCACAAAGTCTGTTAGGGAGAAAACAATGTTTCGATTCGAAAAAAAGTGAGGTTGTTGAGAGGATTGTTCCGAAATGACTATTTGATTACTATTTTTATGATATCCGTGTTTGCGATAAACCAGGAATTCAGTAACTGAGATCTTCCAGCAGTTCACCACTGTTATATACTACATACCTACACCCTTATTTGCAAGGTAATCGAACCACACCAAAAAAGTTTGAAGAAAATAGAAGGGTGAAAAGAAGGAAGATCTGAGTACTGCTTAGAGACTCTAGGTAGGATTTCATCGGAGTATGCAAATTTCTGAGTTTAAACTGCGAACATTTTACCACTGCAGAGCTGTTTGAAAATTTTAAAAATAATTTTAGGACAAGACAAGGTTTTCTAAGCTTAAGGAATGATGAGTAATAGTTTTACAGTGCATTACTGCATTGGGGGCTTTAGGCGCTAAATTTATATGTGCTGTACAGCGCGTGATACGTTGAGTGTGAATTCCTATGGCGCAGAAGATTTTCCAGTCCTTCCGTAGGATTCCAGGACATTTCCCTGCTTTTCGTAAAAAAGAGGAGCATCTAGATGTTCAGGGGTCGAGATATAGGGTTTCTGTCGTAAGGAATGCTTTTATTGTTGATATTCTTAGTGTTCTGATTATGGATTTCCTTCTAAACCTACGTCAGTTGCCTATGACCCTGTTATCGATATGTTAGCTGTCCTTACGCGTGATGGCAACATTTATGTGTATCCTTTTAGATACGCTGATCAGTCTATTGCCTTTTTAGTCTCAACCATGGTGCGTGTTCATATCAAAGACTGTGTATTTTTATATTTTTTATTTATCGTACTAAGTCTTTTAGCTGTTGTGATTCACTAAGCTGATGTGTCAAATATACAGGTAATTTCCAGCTTGTTTTCAGACATCTAAGCCGTGTTTTTTAATCCACCAAATTCTCTGTGTTGTCTTGTTTTAAGTCCTGAAATTTTAGAGATTTACGAATACGATTGGTCCTTCTTAATCAGTAGATTTGCAGCTATGAGTAGCCTTATATATTTTGGGTTTTGTCGAAAACTTCAAGTTCACTTTATGGCAGTTCGTGTATCATACATTTCACTTTTCTGTATTGCCATAACTTATCTAGACTGCTCTAAAAGTTGCTCTTGTGACTGATGAACCTACCATTTTCGGCTGGTTTTCGTCGAAACGACATTCAAAGGCTTATTTTGTTAGTACCTGCGAAATACTTATGGTGTGGTATTAAGGTTCATCATGGGTGTTGAAAATACATGTTCTAAAATTTTGAAATCGCATTTCTTTAGATTGAGAAAGTAGGTAACATATAGACAAGTTTTATTTGTGATGTCTTAAGGTTGTAATTCTCATTTGAAAAGTCGAGTTCTTAGGTCCTTTACTCTTCGTTTAAATACAATTCCTTAACGCTTTGTAAGATACGGGAAACCAGGAATATCGTTTTCTGCTGTACATGAAACGAACGCTCAGTATATTCAAGTGGTTTTCTTGACCGGCAGTGTAAGTAGCTTAGATTATATAACTGTTTTAGAGAAAACTGATTACATTGACTGATTCAGATGATATGTACTTATGGGAGTTGACTTCAGTCAGTCAAACATCTTGTCAACTGGTCCAAAGATCATGTCTCAAAAGAATTATAAGTCAACTAAAGTCTTTGCCAACTGGAGTTCCAAGTATTTCAACCAATAACGAAGAAACTAGTCACGTTACTGCTTTGTGCTACGCCTCCGACGGTCGTAGCATCCTGATTGGAACTGATAATGGTTGGGTTGCCTCTGTTCGTTTAAATACAAATACAGCCACTGACGACTTCACGAAATTCTGGTGCTTACCTTCAGCTGATGATGCAATTAATCCTTCTCGAATACTTGATGGGTAAGATTTGATCTATTTTCGTCCTTTACTTTTTTCGGTAACCCACATCAGGAAATTATTATATATGGAGTGAAGGTTTTTAGCCTTAGTTGTTCTGGCCTGTTTATCTTTTTTCATATAGTTCGTTTTTCAGATTTTGACTAAAAATTTTAGACAGTTTAAATGTCTACTAAGTGAGTCACACTTATTCATCTGAGTTAAAAATGGTCATGTTTGTATTGCTAATTTATCTCAAAAACAAAAGATAAACCCGTAGCTCATAATACTAGGTTTCTGGTATCTGCTATTTGATTTGATTTGTTCGAACCTTCGCGTCATAATTAAAGCGTTACATTACAGTTAGTTCTGCAACACGAAACAATGTAAGTAGTCGGAGTGACAATTTTGTCATGACGTATTAAATGTAAGGAAGACTAGAACGAGGCAGCGCAAACGAGATTCACGTTTCAAAAAATCTATGGGATCTGGTGGTTCTTTTGAAGACACTGAAGAAGTGGGTCAGTGTTTTGTGAAACCTTAAAGAACAATGCACATTTGCTTATGGCTTTTTACACATGTCGATAAGTTCATTTAGTTTTTTAATGGGACTCGCAGAAATACAAAGCCTTAGAACAAGACGAAGCACGTTAAGTTACTGTGTTTAGGCTCTTAAAAAATAACATACTACCAACTTTCCAAACCATTTGTTGGTTTCTAACTTCGTATAACTTTTCGGAGCAGAATCACTATTCCCCTGGAACGTTAAAATAAGGTAGGCTTTTAAATCATTTCCTTTTTCAAAAAGACCTGATGTTTTTAATAAATTCAACTCATCAGTCAAGTGTGGCTGTTTGCAAACCATGTATAAAGATTAGCCTACATATGTTGAGCTAATCCGTAACACAGCAGTCGTAATCTATGTGGCGCATATATATTGGCGCTCTCTTGTACCAATATTTATGTGTTCAAATAAATAATCTATAAACAACCAATTGTTTCACCTTTTCAGGTGCATTGTGTGTAAGTGGTATGTATCGTTTTAGGTGTAATGATATTTGGCATTAAGTATGTTCTACTGTTGTTGGCTCTACGTTTGATGAACTTGACATTTGATGTTAAATTTTCAAAGTCATTTCAAAATGTGCATATGAATGCTGTCTTTTGTTGTTCTGAAGTTTCTTATGTTACTGAGTATCATTTACTGTATGAATCTTGACTTGAACCTAATACATTTACTTGTTGTGGTTCCTTTAGCAGTTATCGGCGTTTTTAATGATAATTAATGACGACATTTCATGTAATCAGTTTGGTTCCCCATATGTCCACTTTCCAGCATTTCACCTGATCGTCGTCAGCGTCTGCGGGCAGATGCAGTTGTGGTTTTATTAGAAAGGCCAGGGTTTCCTGGACAGCTATTAATTGGCTACAATTCTGGTCTAAGTTTATTATTTGACCTCCGTTCAGATCGTATTATGGCACTATTACCGTGGCAACATGGCTTGGAAGCTGCCGCTTGGTGCGGCGGTAGTGGCCAACCAAATAGGTCAAACCCAACATCTCATCAACCCCAATTAGGGATGCGTCTCTTGACTGCGCATTCGGACGGATCTCTGGGAGTTTGGAGTTTGAAGGAAATCGGCTTCGGTACAACAACAATATCTCCCATTCAACCACCCCTGCTTCAAATGGAAGAAGCTCCAAGCATGCCTTATGGTAAGTTGGCTAAATTCTAATGGTTTCTCGTTTAATTTGCCATAGATTCAACTTAGATCAAAGGTTTTATTTATTTAAACACATAAACATTGGTACAAGGAGGCACTAAACAGATATGCGCCACATAAATCATTCGATTTGTGTGAGGGCTGGGATGCTGCCGGGATGCCAAAACTGAAGCAGGTGGTTTTCTTAGGGGGCCACACCAGGAGCCTTCGACCTAAAGGTCTGATCCGCAAGGCAGTGGAGGAACGTCAGGAAATGCAGTACCATGGTATCCGGTGACCAACAATTGGTTCATATTCCATTTGCTCCTTCAGGATACTGGAGCCTATGTGCACCATTGGTTTGGAATCAGGATTTCCCAGATCCCCCAGGTGGATACTTGATGAAATCAGATAAATTCATGTTATTTTACTTACCTTTTCATTCTTGCTTTGTTCGAAATAATAAAGGAGGACTATGTGTATGAAACTTACCCCAATTGTAAACGGACGTTTGTGAGGCTTTTTAGATAACTGACGGTACCTCAGTCAGTCAGTAACAACGTAGAATTCGTACGTACGTACATCAGTTGGAGTTACCACACCACATTAGCACAGAGATGCAGTGGTCAATTCAAATACCGTAGTGGTAGAGGTAATAAGAGTATAAGCAGTAATCGGGAAGATTAGTGTTTGGAGATGTTACTTAAATAGTATAATACAGTGAAATAAATTTAGGAAGAGAAAAAACAGAGACAAAGAGGAATAAGGAGATCAAAATTTGGGAGGACGGTACCTAGGAAAAATTCTCAAAACTTCGGACGATATTCAAAACGTAATAAGTTTGTTTATGAGGGGGTATTGATCAGCGTGTAATTATAAATAAATATTTTGAAACGACTTGTTAAGGGAGTATCTTTTCTGACTATGTGAAGAAATTCATGACATTCCTCGTGTACTGCTGAATGTCGAATCTTGGCGTTACGTTCGATGTATTGTATTAGGGAGAGGAATCAGTGAATGAGATAAATCACTATCTCTTGGGGTTTAGTGCACATCCCCAGGCTCCTGTTATCTCAATGTTAAGTTTTTCCTTTACCAGAAGTTGACCAGGTAAAGGTTAGCGATGCCCTGGTTCGGCCGAGAGTGGGGAGAGTCCACTCTCCCTCTCGAAATACTCTCACACGGCCGCGCGTATACAGCCTCTGCCAGGGAAGTCCTACTCATTGCTTTCTCGTGGTGGGGCTGTTGTTTACGAAAATGAGAGGACGAAAAGCGAATGTCCGGCGCTTTAACCGGATCATAAACCAATGGTGCACATGGGCTCCAGTATCCTGCGGGAACAAATGGCGTATGAACCGATCGTTGGTCACCGACTACCATGGGATTGCATCTCCTTACGATGCTCCACTGCCTTGTGGGTTAGACCTTTAGGTCAAAGGCTTGGGGAGTGGCCCCCTAAGAAAACCACCTGCTTCGGTTTGGGCACCCGGGCAGTATCACAGCCCACACACAAACGATGAACTCTCTATGTCTATGGAAACTACTTTCCTCGCTTCGAAAAACAATCAATTGATTCAAATTATTATCATTACTATTATTGTCATTATTATTATTATTATTATTATTATTATTATTATTTTCCACATTGTTCACCCTCTTTTATACTTATACAGTTGCTCGTCTTTGGTGGAAATCCGACTGTATCTAAACGTTCTCGAGTCACTGTCCGGTTGAAAATTGTATGTTACCGCCGAATACGAGGACTGAAGCAGTTTTTGTGAAACCACGTGCGGCCATTCAAACTGGCTGCCTTCATCGTTCGCACACTTATGCAGGTTGGTCAACAGATAGGGCTGGCTATGTCTTTGGAAAGTCTTCATATCGATGTCTGCTGTCTATCCGAGACCCGTATTCAAGACTCTGGTGAAGTACTACAAATTCGCTCTACATCTGTCGCTTCAAAAAGCTTGTTTTACGTGCGTTTATCCGGGGACCATGTGGCATATTCGTCTGGTCTTGCTGACGTTGGTGTCGCACTAAGCGCTAGAGCTGAGGCAGCACTAATCGATTGGATCCCTATTAACAGTCGGTTATGTGCTGTTAGATTAGAAAGTTCCATCAAAGTGAGAAGGAATCGGCATGAGAAACGATGTGTTTTCGTCATCTCCGCCTATGCCCCGACAGATTGCAGCCCGGATGCAATCAAGGATGAGTTTTACCACCAGTTATCTGTTCTTCTCCAGAAAGTGCGTTCGACAGATATTGTAGTACTAGCCGGATAATTGAATGCTCAGGTTGGGCGTCTAGGAACAGAAGAGAGTCGTTTAGGTGGCCGATAGGGACTTGTTGGTCGCAGGTCAGATAACGGGGACCGTCTACTGCAACTGTGCACAGACCACAACCTGTTTCTGGCTAGTACTAACTTTCGGCACAGTCATCGTCGATGTGCCACCTGGCGTCCTCCCTCTGCATCTCAAGCCTGGACTCAGATTGATCACATCCCGATCAGCTACCGCTGGCGTGGTTGTGTACAAGACTGCCGCTACTTTTAGAGTATCTATCTGGACTCTGACCATGCCTTAGTCTGCGCCAATCTTGCCTTACTTTTCAGTGGATAACGAAGTGACCGCTATCAACGGATTGATATTAGCAAGCTGGTTGCAACTTCTATTGCAAGTAAGTATCGAACCGAGCTAGCTTCTAGGCTAGCTACCATTCCACCGAAAAGTATAGATGAGCATTGGTTGCAATTGCATGACGCCATGAAAATGGCGGGTACAGTCAGTTGTGGGTTTACGAAACGTCCCGCTTATAGGCACTGGGTTTCTTCAGGCTCCTTACAACTCATTGAAGTCCGTCGGTCTACTCCGGGTGACCGTGAGTTTGACCACAAACGAAGGATGTTACGTAGTGAAATCGGGCAAAGCTTGCGTAAGGACCGAGAAGCCTGGTGGTCGAAGCGTGCTAATGAGCTGCAAGCAGTAGCTGCATCTGGTAACTACCGGAAGCTCTTCCAACTCATCCGAGCCACTGGCAGCAAGAAGTCTGGTGTGAGTAAAACAATCTGCGAGGATGATGGGATGCCAATCACTAACATCCACCGACGTCTTGGACGATGGGCAGAATTTTTCGAAGGGCAGTTCAACTGGCCTGTTGCTCCGGCAACATCGGTCAGACTGTCCTGCCCTCCATGGCCGGTGAAGACTGATCCACCAAACGAGGAGGAAGTCCGCAAGGAACTCCAACTCTTGAAGCGTTACAAATCACCTGGCCCAGATGACTTACCTCCGGCTCTTTTTATAGATGGTGGTGACTTTTTGACCAAGGAATTGACGACGTTGTTTACAAAGGTTTGGGAACTAGAGAGTGTACTAACGTCATGGAATGAGTCGATAGTTGTCCCTATCTTTAAAGAAGGTTCACGTCGTTCCTGCAACAACTATCGGGGGATAAGTCTACTTCCGATTGCGTCCAAGCTATTGGCTTCCGTCATACTTCGTAGGTTGTTCAAAACCCGAGAAAGATTGACTCGCGAGGAGCAGGCTGGGTTTCGTTCTGGTCGAGGATGTATTGATCACATCTTCACCCTCCGCCAAATGTTAGAACACCGCCATACATATCAAAGACCAACAATCGTAGTGTTTATTGACATCAGGGCTGCCTTCGATTCGTTGGATAGGACTGTTCTCTGGGATTGTCTATTGAAGAAGGGTGTGCCTGAGAAGTTTATTAACATCCTAAAAGCCCTATATAAAAACACCTCGGGCAGAGTGAGGGCATACAATCATCTTTCTCCATTGTTCCATTCGAGCAGTGGGCTGTAAAAGGTCGGATCTACAACGCGTCGGTTAGAGCAGTTTTGCTCTATGCATGTGAAACCTGGCCTCTCCGAGTTGAGGACGTTAGACGACTTTCTGTGTTCGATCATCGTTGTCTCCGAAGGATTGCTGACATTCAGTGGCAACACCATGTCAGTAATGCAGAGGTTCGGCATCGTGTGTTTGGGCACAGAGATGATAATTCAATTGATGTCACCATCTCGAAACACCGACTTCGGTGGCTTGGACATGTTCTCCGAATGTCGTACCAGAGAATTCCACGTCGTGCATTATTTGCCGACTCTGGGACTGGTTGGATGAAGCGGAGAGGTGGTCAGTTCATGACATGTTGTCGTGGCATGAAAGAAAGCTGTAAAAAACTGGCTTGTGTTGGTCCTTCACGACTCCCTGGTTGGGGTCTGAGAGATGGTGCTACGCAGTGGCTAGAGACGTTATCAGATATGGCTCAGAATAGAAGCCAGTGGCGATCCTGCTGTAACCTTCTTTTACTTTCTTCATAAAAAGTGGTTGTGTTTCCCTTACCTGAAAGATTTCTTTTCCGATTGCTCCTTCCCGTTCCCTCATTACTACCACACTACCTTACACCAAACTCCTCGTTATTGTTCTCTTTTTTTGCGCTGCTTAGTTTTTTTTCTATTTCTCTTCGAATTCTCATTGTTTTGTGTGGAGCATATATATTGGCGCTCTCTTGTACCAATATTCATGTGTTCAAATAAATAATAATAATAATAATACTAGTTTTTTTAATGTCTGGGTGTGCTAGTCTGGTTCTCGTAGAGATGCCCAAGTTCACAGTTTATTCATAGGTAGACAAGAAAAGTAAAAAAAACTGGTTTACCTTAGAACTTTTATGATGACAATGGGGACATATGTCATACAGTTATAATACCGTTTCTTGTGTTGCACAAGAGTAGTTGGTTGCTACATATATTATCCAGGTAATGCAGTTTCATCTATTGCTAAGTATATCAATAGTATATGGAGTTTGTTTCTATATATGATATGTCAAGAAGCTTATTTGGTCAAAGTTGGTTTAATTTAACATTGACATGACAAATACAAACGATATTTATAGAACGTTATGATGGTAACCGAGTAATTTACAGTGGTCTGGGTATTAACTAGTTTATATCAAAACCTAACTTTCTACAGCCTCTCTGTACGAGCATTTGAAAGTCCTGGTAGATACAATCGTAAAATGTTAATTTACGAAGTACACATAAATAACAGGACTTCTCGCTGTACATTCTTCGTTTATTTTTTAATGAAGTGTCATAAATTGATTTTATACTATCAAGACTTTTTTAACAAAGCATCCGTCATGTAGAAGAAATAGTTATCCCTCAATTTGTACATTTAATATACATTTATACTTACTCTGGATCCAAATAAATGAAATACATTAGTCATCCATTTTATCAGTAGATTGAAAAGTTTATCTATTTTTATTCTTAGTTTTGTATGATTTATGGGTGATGCTCACTCTCCATCATCTGTTTGTGCATAGATCAGTGTTTGCTGAACTTTCTTTCTACAATCCAATCATTTTGAAATTATTTGTTCTTCGTTTTGATTTCAAACAGGCTTTAATAATTAGTTCTCTGTTGTTAAATGCAAAATTTTCATCGATTTCCTTGGTTTTTCTGTTACTACTGTCTCCAGATGGAAGCCTAATAAAGCCTCAACTTCCGTAATCTAGGCATTCATCTATCAGTCATAGTATAATGTTTTAAATTCTGTTTAATTTGAATTAAACACTCAAATAATATTGACTGTTGTACATAACATCTTGCGACCAATTAACAGATTTGAATATAGTGTCTGGAGTATGACCTTTCTTGATCTAACTCTAAAGCTTGGAAGGTTTATTTTTTGAGCTTTGTTATGTCGAATTATGACTTCTTATTTGTAACATTAAAATAATTTACTTTTTTTGTTAGGACCTTTCCCGTGCAAACTGATCAGCAAAGTCTTCTGGCTTCCATCTGATCTGTAAGTTATCCTTTGATTTTTACAAGCTAGGCTCTATTCCTTAAAAAACTTCCATGTGATACAGAATGCTGTAAGCAGTTAGCATAAAAAATGTCACCGTTCATTAAGCTTTACTCCTTAAATAACTCTATTTCCCGTGTCTATTTCAGGCTCATTATCTTTGCTTATAGACGTAATATAAATTGATGTGTAATTTACTATATCGTTCAACATTCACTGTAATGTTAGTTAAGATAATGGAATAATCATTGAGAACAGAAGTTGGTTTAATTTCTGAAGGAAAAGCTATGATAGGTTGTTTCAAAATTATGACGTAATTTGAGTTTTTCATGGATAATATACTTATTTTTGTCATATCTTTATTTATACGCATAATGATTTGATTAGGCTTATTTGTCGTAATATTCCGAAAGAACACATGTTATTTATTCGCATTATCCATTATTTTGTTTATTCTCAACAGGGGAGGTATTACTGTATTTGTTGGTGGAATGCCACGTGCCACTTATGGTGAACGTCATACTGTAAGCATATTGCGTGGATCCAATATTGATCAAGCTGCTAATGCCAGTGTTGTTGCTGCCCGACTTGCTGTAGCAGCTGAAGCTGAAGATGATGATGAAATACCAGAAGAAAGTTCATTATCAGCTCCTCCTATACACGTTTTTGATTCTGATGCACCTGAACATGTATGTTTGGACTTACCATCAAGTCTTGTTGATTTAGTTCCTGTTGGTTCTGTTGACGGACCTGTTCAAATACTAATACTTTTATGTGAAGAAGAAATGGTTGTGATTGATCTTATAACTTCTGGCTGGCCTTTTATGCGTCCTCCTTATTTAACTTGCTTGCACACAACATCCCTTACTACATACAATTTAATTACACAGGTAAGTTATATATAATTTCACTCATCTGTTTGATAACAATATATTTGGTTGGAATGGTTCAAACAACCTTTGAAAATGTATATGCAATGTAATTTGAACTCGTTTGCTCTTTCTGTGTATAGTCGTGACTCACATATAGTTTGTTAGCTTATTCAACTGATAATAGGGAAATAATTATCCCTTTGAATTAAATTAAATATTTTCTTCACTCTTTCATGTTTCATTTGTTACATTTGACCGTTTGTATCAGCTTTCTCATGGTTTGCGCATTAGTTATGGTCATTGTAATTCTGTGGTTTTCGTTTTTTCTTATACGTCTATTGTAATCATAAATTCTTATGGCGATAAAATGTCTCAAATTATATTAATTTTATAAATACTACTTACAAACCTTCACTGAAGTGCTTATTCCTAGTTTAGATAAAAATTCTAGATTTTCATTGAAATTTCTGTTTAAAAACTTTCGTTGGTTTTATATACTATACTGATGGGAACTGTGATATTTATGATTGATACACAGATTTGTACAGACATATAAACATCGTCAACGTAGAGCTGCGTACTGCTCTGTGTTGGCCAAAGTTCCCATGCTTGATTAGCACGAAAAAATAAAAATAACAAGAGATCGAAATATTGTATTAGTAGTGACAAAAAAAAAGAAAAAAACCTTGAGGATATCATTTGAAAGAACACTGAAAAGGTGCGTATGAGGGGATACTGAAATCCAAAACTATGAGGAACAGTGAATCCACCTGCGCCATTGCGTGAACCCTTATGAACCATGTCACCAAATGTTTCTAACCATTGATTACGGTTATCACGAAGACCTCAACCAAGTAGTCTGAATCTACTAAAATGGCTTAAACCAACAGTTAGTGACTTCATGAACTGATCCAACGTTTTGAGTTGACGGCTCCTAGCTTTCTTCCAAACTTCTGAATTAGCAACGACCGTCTTTCAAGGTAGGCTGTGGTTAATCATACCAATTTCCTCTCTTGCACACGTTCCATTTGCCTAACCCCGACATCTCTCATTCAGTCATTACACAAAACGCGAGCGACGCTCCGAAAACGCCTATTATCAAAACCCTTAACCTACCCATCTCTTCTACCTTCACAGACCACGTTTCCCAGTCATAAAATAGAGTGAACTGTACCTCCTGTCTGTTTTGCCTCTGACAACATACAATTAGTACGATATTCTACATTTTACTTATCCGTCTGTCCACAAGTAGATATCAATGATATTTTACTCGGTATAATTATGTATCCGTTCAATTTGTCACTAGAAAAGAGTAGCTGTGTAAACTAGAAAAAAAGGCATGCCACTTACAAGGATTTATAATATCGTAGAAAGATAGCATTTTATGACCTGCAGTTAATAATATAAATATAGGATTTCCAAAATTATTAATATTATTTAGTGACAGTTTTGAAAAGTCCAATGATGAAAGGTGTAAAAAATTGTTCATTAATGGAGGGATGGGCGTGAATAATAGATCTAAACTAGAGTCGATTTAATTTTATTCCTCGGGACCGAGCACTATTTTAAATTATTTATGATATTTTTTCCGCAAATTCATTCCTTTTAGAATCACATATTGTATCCCTAATGTTTTCTACGACTACGGATACTAATACTATTTATACTGCCTTGCCATTTTGTCTTGATAATTTCTTGTTGTTGTTATGAAAACTTTATATGAAGCACATATCTCCCAGTCTCTTTGTTCCTCGAGACTGACTGACTGAAACTAAAGATGATGTAAACTGGTCATTTACACTACTTAACTACCTAGAAATTAATCAAAACGATCATTTCCACTGTGGTAAGACACTGTTAGATGGATTAATACCAATCTTAATGTAGGGTAAATACCATTTCAAAAAGCTGCTGTTGTCAGAAAAGTGGTGGAAAACCTACACAGACTTATTTGTGTATCTGTCTATCTCAATGAATGTTTATCGTTGATATCGGCGTAAACTAGAGGTATTTTCTCTAAAGTAGTTTTTAATGTTACTATCTGTGTACAATATCCTGGCATAAAAATCTTTACTTACAGACTTTTCTGCTTTACTAAACATTGATTACAGCTGTCAATAAACTGCTACTTTAGTGTACATATAGATGGACAAATATTTCAATGTGAGACCTTCAGTTTTTTTATCTACATAAAGTATGTCTATATAAATTCACAAAACATATTGTGATAAATTTTCGTTCCCAGTAAATTTGCTACTTAAATTTAAAGTCAATACTCCTTTACATTGTAATCATTTTATCATACATAATAGGTTAGCCCAACCTTGCTGTCAAATCTTGAAGCTGCCGGTGCTTATTATGGTCCTGAAGGGCGTTTTGGTCGTGGAGGAGCAATTGCAGATAATCCATCAGGTGGGGGTTGGTCCTCTCTCCCTTGGCCAATACAAGGTGGTCATGCATTAATTAATGGATCTCGGTTGTCTACAAGCTCTTTGGGTGGAAATATTCTGTACACAGATGACTTACTTCTTACTGGTCACGAGGACGGTTCTGTTGCATTTTGGCGGCTCAGTGCAGGAGGCTGCCTTCGACGCATTTATACCTTATATACAGCTATATTATTTGAAGATGTCAGCCAATTGGTAAGTTGTTAGATAGTCATTTGTCATCTATGTGATCATCCGCCAAGATTTGAATTTACAATTCTATAGAAATTGAGCACCGAGTGTATGGGAACATCAAATATCAATTTATATTTGTAAAGTCCCAGTGATTAAAATTTTGATCGTTCCAACTTTTCACACCTCATTTTTATTTAGAAACCTTTTGTTTTAGGCTCGTATGTGTAAATTGGTCTATAGTTGTAGGCCTTGTATCCCATATGCGCATAATACCTAGTAAAGTGTATGAACCAGTTGTTTTTTTCTACTCGATTCACTTACTGAAACTCAGTCAGTAAGTCAGTAACAACGTAGGACTTCGTACGTACGTACATCAGTTCGAGTTGCCATACCATATCAGCACAAAGATGCAGTTGTCGATTCAAATCTCGTAATGGTAGAGGTAGTAAGAGTATGAGCAGTAATCGGAAAGATTAGGGTTTGAAGATTGGATGAGTTTTCGAGCATCTATTATTGCGGTACATGCTGCTGAGATACAGTGTTTCTCCCTAACCTTATGGTTCACCTTACTTGCAGACATCAATGTTGTTTCCACAGCTTTTTGAATGTCATTCCACGCTGCCTCGGGGTGGGCATCACTCACATGGCTGACTAACTGTTTTTCTAGCTAACACGTCAAAAAGGCCGTGCGCGACCGACCTCAAGCAGTTGTCCCTTGGGCTCTGCAGTCACGCTCCCAGGTCGTCAAGACCAACACTAATCCAATTTCCTTTTCAGGTTCCTCAAGAAATATCCTTCCATGGTGTGGGCAGCCGGGAAGTGACATCAGCTCTCATACCCATAACAACACACGAGACCAAGTTATTGACAATCAAATCCTTCCTACAGCTTCTAACAACTCTCTTATCTCTTCGACTAACTCTCCTCACGTCTCTTTATCACATCGCACCGCTAGGGCAAATGATTCGATTACGTGTAACGCTATTCCTGGTCTCCTGAAACCACGCTCTAAACTACACGTAGGAGCTTTTAACGTCCGAACACTGTGCCAAATAGGACAGCAGGCTTCCTTAGCTAGGACTTTAGAATCTCGCGCCATTAATGTGTGCTGCGTCTCCGAAACGCGCATACAAGATCCAAGTAGCGTCATTCATTTGACCTCACCATTCCAAAATAAAGAGCCGACTCGATTCACACTTCGTGTATCTGGAAGCCCTGATTCTGCTTCCCGTGGCCTCGCCGGCGTTGGTATAACATTGAGTCCCAGAGCAGAACTAGCTCTCTTAGAGTGGATCTCAGTAGACAGCAGTTTGTGCGCTGTCCGACTGAACGGAAAAGTAAGAATCTGGAAAGATAGGGACACCCGTCGTTGCCTGTTCGTCGTTTCTGCCTATTCTCCCACTGACTGCAGCTCAGATGATGTAAAAGATGAGTTTTACAGAAAGCTTTCCGACCTTCTCCGAAAAGCTAGGCGCTCTGATGTAATAGTGACCGGTGACTTTAATGCTCAAGTAGGTAAACTAAGCGATAGGGAAAGACACGTAGGTGGATCTTATGGTGTTGTGGCTCAAAGGACAGATACGGGCGACCATCTGTTGCAGCTATGCTCAGATAATCGCCTGTTCCTTGCAAATACTAACTTTAAGCATAAGGAAAAACATCTTTTAACATGGCGACCCCCTAATTCGTCCCAACGTTGGACCCAAGTGGATCACATCGCTATCAGCCACCGATGGAGGGGCTCGATAGAAGACTGTCGCTCATTCTGGAGCACATGCCTAGATTCAGATCATGCTCTAGTGCGAGCGCGTATTTGCTTGCGTCTTACTGGACGTAGGAAAGACGCTGCAAGGAAACCTCTTAGGGGCCTACTTAATGATAGTCAAGCTAAGAGTATATTTCAGGAACAACTAGGAAAACAGTTAGGCAGCCATGTATGTGATGCCCACCCCGATGCAGCTTGGAATGATATCCGAAAAGCTGTGGAAACAGCAGTGATATCTGCTAGTAAGGTAAATCAGAAGGTTAGGGAGCAACACTGGATCTCAGCAGCATCTATCGCACTGATAGATGCTCGTAAACTCATTCCACCTGACTCTGAACATAGTGAAGAGCGGAGTCAGCTTAAGCGCAAGCTGACAAGAAGTCTACGCAATGATCGCGAACAGTGGTGGGTAGCGAAAGCAAGAGAGATGGAAAAGACAGCGGCAATAGGTAATAGCAGACAATTGTTCAGACTCGTTAAGGAAACCGGAATTAGGAACCCGACCGTTAGCGAAACAATCTCAGAGAAAGATGGAGATTGGATCGATGGGCAGAACACTTCAAGGGTCAGTTCAACTGGCCTTCAGCCACACTTCAGTTTCCCACGATCTCTAGTCAACCTGAATGGCAAGTTAATGTAAGTCCTCCGTCCCTTTACGAAGTTGAAAAATCTATAGGAAATCTGAAACGAGGGAGAGCAGCAGGCCCTGACAGGTTTACTCCTGAGATTTTTAAGGATGGTGGTCCAGTATTAGCAATGAGATTAACCGAGGTCTTAGGTAGAATTTGGGAACTGGATGTAATCCCATCTGACTGGTCTCAATCACTGATTGTGACAGTCTATAAGAAAGGACAAAAGTCCTCTTGTGACAATCACAGAGGAATCAGTTTGACTAATATAGTGTCTAAAATATTAGCCTCAATAATACTTCGACGCCTAATCAAAGCTCGTGAAGAGCAGATTAGAAAAAACCAGGCCGGTTTTCGACTCCCAAATGCCCTGGTACGACCGAGAGTAGGGAGTCCGCTCTCCCTCTCGAAATACTCTCACACGGCCACGCGTATATAGCCTCTGCCAGGGAAGTCCTACTCACTGCCTTCTCGTGGCGGGGGTGTTGTTTACGAAAATGAGAGGACGAAAAGCGAATGTCCGGCGCTTTAATCGGATTCCAAACCATTGGTGCACATGGGTTCCAGTATCCTGCGGGAACAAATGGCGAATGAACCAATTGCTGGTCGCCGGCTTTCATGGGACTGCATCTCCTTACGATGCTCCACTGCCTTGTGGGTTAGACCTTTAGGTCAAAGGCTCGGGGTGTGGCCCCCTAAGAAAACCACCTGCTTCGGTTTGGGCACCCGGGCAGTATCACAGCCCTCACACACATATCGAATGAGATTTGTGTGGCGCATATATATTTGGTGTCTCTTTGTACCATTGTCCATGTGTTGAAATAAATAAAATAAAAAATGGTTGTATAGATCAGATATTCACAGTACGTCAGGTTCTAGAACACAGACACACATTCAGACGCCCCACAATGGTAGTATTTCTCGACCTTAAGGCGGCATTCGACTCTGTTGTTCGTGAGGTTCTATGGCAGTGTTTGTCACTGAAAGGAGTACCAAATAGTACATTAACCTTATTCAGGCTCTCTACTCGAACACAACTGGTAGAGTGAGAGCTTATGGCGAACTGTCATCAGAATTGATTACATCAAGTGGTGTTCGTCAGGGCTGTCCACTCTCTCCATTCTTGTTCAACTTTGTGGTCGACGTACTTTTAGAGATAACACTCTCCTCATCTAAATTTCCAGGGGTTGAACTTCTACCGGGAGGTTCACTTGTTGAGTTAGAATATGCTGATGACATAGTTTTATTTGGTGAAGACGCTGACAAAATGCAGAGTCTTCTGACCACTCTAAGCAACAATGCAAGCATGTTCGGGATGCGATTCTCTCCCTCGAAATGCAAAATGTTGCTTCAGGATTGGGTTACATCGACACCCGAACTAGTGATAGGTAGAGAAGTATTTGAGCGTGTCGATCGCTTCACTTATTTGGAAGTCTCATCAGCCCTGTGGTCTGGTATGTGACGAAATCTCAGCACGGATACAGAAGGCTCGACTAGCTTTTGCCAACTTGCGTCCATTTATGGCGTAGGCGAGTATCCGTACCCAACCAAAGGACGTGTTTACTGCGCAGCAGTACGTCCCGTCCTACTTTATGGCAGTGAAACATGGCGGTAAGAGTAGAGGATATTCGAAGGTTACTAGTATTCGATCATAGGTGTCTTCGAAACATTGCTCGTATATCATGGGACCATCGAGTAAGTAATGCAGTTGTTAGGAAACGGGTACTAGGTAAGGAGGCAATCAATTGATGAATAGTGAAACTTCATCAGTTGAGATGGCTGGGACACGTGTTACGTATGCCCAACGACCGACTGCCTCGGACGTGCGATGTTCAGTGGTATAGGAGTAGGTTGGAAGAAAGCTAGGGTTGGCCAAACCAACAATGGCAACAAATCCATGAAGTCACTGACAAGTGGTCTGAGTTCATGTTGGTAGGTGTAGACTACTGGTTGGGGACCGCGAGATGATAGCAACCGATGGTTAGAGACCTTGAATGACTGGCTTAAAATCGTTTGCAATGGTGTGAGCAGGTACATCCACTTCTTTGTGTTCTCCCAATTTTGATCTCCTGATTCCCCCTTGTCTCTTTTTTTTATCTTCCCAAGTTTATTTCACTGTATTATACTCTTTAAGAACATCTCCAAACACTATCTTTCCGAATACTGCTTATACTCTTATCACCTTACCACTACGGGATTTGAATCGACCCGGCATCTCTGTGCTATGTGGTGTGGCAACTCGAATTGATGTACGTACATACGAAGTTCTACGTTGTTACTTTTTGTGGGACAAATTTATGTATATCAAAGTAATATGACCATTGTTTAAAAATTTTTTACAGAACGATTAAAAATAAATCGTTAACATAGATGGTTGTCACTCTCGTATGGGAGTTTTATTTAACTTCCTGTTTTATTGGATCTCCTCTGTTCACGTTTTGTAAGAAACCTCTGTTTAGTTCACCTCGTGTACTTATTTTACAGCGTTATTTATTCTAAGTTACAAGTGTTAAGTTTGCGAAGCGCAAAAAATGTGAGGAGACTAAAGGTATTTAGTTAAAAACAGCTTTGAAGTATCACATGAATTTAATGAAGCAGGTTTTGTGGACGTATCTTACAAGGCAATTTGTGATTCTCATCGACTAGATAATATTCAATGAAAACAATACTTTCCTAAGTTTTACATTCAACCAATGGTTTTCGTTTACCGTTTTACAAGCATCAGGATATATCTAATTTTTTATACAGTTCGAACGCGGACGATGAGATAATGCCAGAATATCCCTAACTAAACAATCTTGTACTCACCTATTAATTATTTAATACTTGAGGTTGGTATATTCCTTAATATTCGTTCCTATTTGTTTGCTTAAGCAACCAAACATAATTTTAAAGTTGTAAGTTTTGCAGTACTTTTGGAGTAAAGATATCTAACACTTTGTTAGGCTAGAAAAAATTTCGAATTTTGAACCTTTTATTTTTTTTCTGTTATGTTATTTTCGACTAATACGAAGTAGTTTCTTTTACTGTGTTTTTAGCTTCGAAAATGCTTTAGTAACAAGATCACTGTTAATCCAGAACAAGCTACTCCACTCCCTGCTCAATTACAAGCTACAGGAGTTATTTTCGTACAGCCTCCTGCACGTATTACATCACTTCTTTCAAGTGAATTTGAATTAACTCATCTAAAAGAATTTAGTCAAAACCAAACAAGTAACATTGGTGGTGATGGCGGTTTACAAATTTTACTTGCTCTTGGTACACCACATGGTTTCGGTGTAGTTTTTGTACCGAAACCTTTATCTAATAATGATTCAAATACAAAAAAACCATTACCTCCTCAACCATTACTTGCTGTGTCAACAATACCGGATAATATTGATGCTCTTCAAGAAGCTGCTGCTGGTGAAGGTTGGGCAAGGCGACGTACTCGAGAACTTAAAAAAAGTCTTCGTGATTCGTTTCGACGTCTTAAAAGAGTACGATCAACTAAATCAAATTTTCAACCAGTTGTCCCAGCTTTTACTGCTAATGTTAGTCGTGCTGGCATTCGACGTACTGTTACTCAAGTAGGTTCTTATAACCATCTTAGGTTTATTTTTTTGATTATTTAAAGAAGCAATAAGTTAATTGAACTAAATAAACTAATAAAATCTAATCAGTCGTCATCAGTCCACTTCAAATTATTTCTCGAATACCATTTGTCGTTTTTGTGAAATGAGTTTCCTAATAAGTTTTACATGAGCTTAAACAAACAAAAAATATTTTCTTAAGTGATAAGGTACAGATTCATATAGTAGATTCCATCGTCTCTATATTGTGTAACCAGATAAAAAGTCGATATATCAAGTGGTTATAGGTAGTCGACAAGTTTATTACCAGTTGGCATTCATAAACAATGTATATTTGCAATCTTTGGGAAAATTGGTGTTTGCTGTAGGATCCAAATGTATGTTACAATCAAAGTCAATACCACTAAGTTGTTAAGGCTGCGCTAACATGTACTTCTAGTTTTCTTTTTAACGTTGATTGATCACTGAGTGGTAATCAGTGTCATACTATTTAATCTCTAGCATTGATCACGATCTGTCGATTGATTTTCATTCTAGTCACTAGTCTATATGACTTTGAATTGCTAATCGTCGAATAGTTTTCAGACCCTCAACATTAAACAGTCTATTTCAATGTTAAATTATTTAGACCAGTGACTATATTGCAACTTGACTGTAACAAAATTGAGTAGTAAATTTAATAATCAGTGTACGACTGAATCTCTACCTCAGCCTTGTATTGACGTTTACTGAAACATAACTTATTGAAAAATAGTATGAAGTGAATTTTGAAAGTGCTTATTTTCAGCTTCTGAACCAATTTGGTTTATTTTCTTAAAGAGGTTTTCACTAAGGCTGTATTCTTGTGTCTTTTTATGGAAAATAATGAAAAGAAAAAGCTATTCACTGTCGTGATGAGTTATTATCTAAAATCTTCAACTTAAGAAAATCGATGTAATTACTTTCGATTACTGTATATTCCATTTTCGGTCATGCATACAAATGGTTCCATAGCATATTCTGAATTATGCATATATCTTTTATATTTATCTAAGTCTAATCGTGCTGCTCCCAATCAAACTGATGTGGCTCCTCTTGATGAAGCAGAAAGACGTAGTGGACGTGTCCCAGATGAAAATATATTATTAATATCACAGTATAATATTGAAAGAGAAATATGCGATCGTGTTCAAGATACTGCTAATGTAGCTATTGTATCCTGTTTTGCATTTGGTCCACCATTGTTTAAATCAAGTCCATCAAATTCTCGTCCAATGTTACATTCAGTTGCTACACTTTTTATTGGTACTAAAGCTGGAACTGTTAAATTATATTCTATTTTTGTTGACAAAACAACATTAAATTCTAGCGTTCTACCTAAACTACAACTGTATTATTCTCGAGAACTTATTTTACAACATCGTGCTCCTGTTCTATCACTTCGTCTAATCGATGCTAAGTCAAATATGCCGTACTCATTATCGGGTATGTGTTGTTAACGATATTACAATTGTAATACTTACAAATTTTTTCTTTAAGGGTAGAAGAAATCATCCCATACATATTATTCTCACGATATTAAAACAAAATCATTTAGATTTTAGTAATTCTCTAATTGGTTTTATAGTTAAATAAGTTATATTTCTATTATTGGATGCCAAACCGATAATCATTTAAATATTTCGTACATATGTAACTCTACTTCACACATACTCTCCAAAACAGTCATATTTAGTAAGTTAGTTTGACGATATTAATCGTCTAGTTTGTTGTTAGTAGAGTTATTAAAATATCAATATCGAACTTTGAGAGTGTTTTTCTCTTACAAATTTTTTTTAACATAAAACCAATAAATTACTACAAATATTGTGTTCAAATTGTGCCGTTTACTACATTAATCAATACCATGAAATATGCACAGAGAGGTGGAGAATAAATTTTAAATATATGAATACAGAAAATTAGTAAAAATTGAAACAAGTAACAAATTGTATTTATTTTTAGCATGAATTGAAATGATTCACTAAACAAAACAAACTTACAATAAAGTTCCATCGAATTGTTGTTTGTTTAAAGTATTCAGAAATAAAACATCTTTTTATAATAAAGAATATTCTTGTAAATTGGAATATATTAAGTAACCTGATTGAAATCAATTAACAGTCTAGTCATTTCGAATTTGTAATAAGTTTCACTGGTTACATAAGAATATGTGTATCTGTGTTTCAATTAGTATTACTTAATATTACTATCTTTCGTACAAGATCAATTATCTAATAGTGTTGTTTTCACTTTAACTAAATTAAATCATTATTGTCACACTTTGTTCTCCATATTGGTTTTCCTTTAACATATTCTACAAGTTACAGGAAAGATGTAATTTAAGATCCAAAGTGTAACAGCCGTTGGTTTAATAGTTGAAAATCATTCGACTTTCAAACCATATTGGTAACGGGTTCAAGTCTCACCCTGCTTTGTTTTAGAGTCCTCGAACAAAACGCTGGGCACTCAGAACCGAGTATTTTTATTGTCTATACTCGACAAATGAGTCACATTAAACATAGTTTTCTGAAATTAACTGTATAGTTTGCACTCGATCATTGTAATTAGATACAGTTGTTCCCCTTGTTTCCCAATAATTGATATACTATTCTCTTTTTAATATAGATTACAAACATTACATATCTGATTCTGGTAAATCTCATAATCTACCTGTATTATCAGTTGTGAGTGAAGAACAAATAAGATTATTTAATTTGCCTAATTTACACCTAAAATTCAAAGCTCGTATTACCGCTATTGATGGTTATCGTATCAAATCTGCTTCAGTAGTTGGATTTCGAATACACGGAAAAACCAGTTCATCTTTATCAAAAGAATCCACTGGTTAGTCATTAGAAATCACATTTTATTTGGATAATTTCTGTATTTTTTTTCGACCACTTACGTTTTATTTCAATTTGAAATGGCTTGGATACCCGTTGCACAAGTGAGTGAGTTTATACTGACTTGTGTTATAATGGCTATATCAAAGCAATCCACATACGTCAACCAGGACTGATCAAAATTCAGGAAAATAACACCAACGGGATAATTTAATCTATTTTCAGTCGAATTAAAACGCGTACCTGTTCCATAAATAAGTCAGTCAGTCAGTAACGTAGAACTTCGTACGTACGTACAACAGTTGGAGTTGCCACACCACATTAGCACAGAGATGCAGTTGTCGATCCAAATCCCGTAGTGGTAGAGGTAGCAAGAGTGTAAGCAGTAATCGGGAAGATTAGGGTTTGGAGATGTTATTTAAAGAGTATAATTCAGTGAAATAAATTTGGAAATAGGAAGGGACATGAAGAATTCAGAAGATTAAAATTTGGGAGAACACAAAGAGTGGATGCACCTGCTCACACCATTGCAAACGATTTTGAGCCATGTCATTCAGGGTCTCTAACCATCGGTTGCTATCATCTCGCGGTCCCCAACCAGGTAGTTTACACCTACCAACATGGCTTAGCCCAATTGTCAGTGAATTCATGGACTTGTGCCATGTTTTGGTGTCGATGTATCCATAAATAAGTGGCTATCTGGACTCCCTAGCTAACTGAATAAAACGTCAGCGTTTAAAGCAAACAGTACTGGGCTCGAGTCCTGAAGTGAACACCGATTTCGGTATAGGTATATCCATCAGACTCGTTCCAAATAAGACGAAACGCGCGTCCTTAATCCCACTACTAGCCACATTTTGTCTGTTCTCTATTATGACGCACGTTGTTATGAGTGTTACGGTTATTTATTTATTAGTTTGTTCTTCATCTCCATCTTTACTTACATAATAGTTGATTCTGCTTGTGGTGATCTTGAACGTTCAAATGCAAGTGGTATATCTGTAACATCTCAAACAAATCAAAACTGTGAATATTCATTTGTTTTTACAAATGTTGGTGGTCAAGCTGTTTTACTTAGTATGCCCCAACTTCGACGAATGGATACCTTACATTTGCTGGATTCTCATGATGTAGTTGCAGTCAGTTCAGTTGTATTTTCTCAACCTGGCAGTATAAATGTAAATACTTCGGGTTATGTTCCTGGACCTGCTCTCGGGCTTTATCAGTTGGCACCTGGTCAAGTATGTATACATTCTGTAAATAGTTATTACTTTATGGCGTGTGATTTATCCTTGAGACACTGCGAGTCTATGTAATCCACTGAAATTTGCGTTCTGGAGCTTGAGTTCTTACTTTTTTTTCACAAAATACTTCATGTATGAATGATTTACATAAGTATAACATTGAACCATTTATCCAAACCAGATACTTGTGAATAAAGATATGGCTGTATGGCAACGTTGAATTATCTCTTTTAAACTTGGTCTTATCCATTATTTCTAGTCTTACACTTTTACAAGTGTGTTTCCGAGAATAATTATTTTCTTGAGACTTCACAGAAACGGTGGGACTAGTGTTCATGCTTTTTCCTGTATAATAGAGTATAAGATTTTGCACAGTCAAAATATTTAAATATATCGTCAAATTAATCTATAATACTTCTCTTTCCTTTACACTTCAAGTCTGTTAAAACCAGGCGTTTTGAGAAATATGTAATTAGGCAAGTTCATTTGTAAGTATTGGTCTTTTTTTGTATCATCTTTTCTGAAAAATAATACGTCGAGATTGAAGCAAAATTAAATCTGTTTAATGTTTACATCGAATATTGACCACTATCAATTTATTTTATGAAGAAATTCAAGTAAAACACTTGAGAGATGTCATGTAATCTTCATGTTTGCTTATCTATTTAGTATAATTCCATAAAATAATGAATCCCTTTCCACGAGAATCATAGATTTTTGTATGTGTTGAAATGTATGGTCAACTCCTATTTTATGGTAACCAAATATTCTACACATTTATATAAGTTATAAATTTTGAAAATTTATGTACCATAATATGTCGACCAAATATATTTTTTTCTAATTTATTTCTATTATTTAAAATTGATAAATTAAACCAATAACCTGTTTATTTGTTTATTATAAAAAGCTTACACTTTTTGACGTTGTACGTAGTGGACAAAAAGCTAGCTCACTTGGAGTATCTTATCGTCCTATATATCGACTATCTCTTATTGGCAATCCAAATGCAAACATGAAAACTTTATCCGAAAAGACAAATAGTACTGGAGATAGTAGAATTTCTAATAGAAGTGTTTTATCGACCAGTCAGTTGCATAATATATCACAGACATCTAGTGTACTTAGTTCATCCGTACAAAATCAATCAAATTCTATGTCATCACACAATCTAAGTGATTCAATAAGAAATGGTCTCGTTTCACCTTCTGTATCATGTACAAGTGATAGAAATAATCACAGGTACTTTTAACGTCTGATTTTGAATTAATTTAACTATTTTTTCACTATGAAGCTATTTCTCTCCTACATTCACTCACAATTACGAAGCAAATCTCAAGAATACATTCTATTTTTACTTACTTTGATTTTCTTTTCTATACTTTTTTTATTTACTATTTTTATTTAAGTAAGATTTAATAGTTGAAGTGCTTTTCTAGTTTAAAGGCAGTTTTATCATGTACTAAGATCAGCTGAGAAATAATTAGAGAATACATGTGACACAACTGAAAAACGTTTGTATTTTACTAGTTTTGAACTCCTATCAGTGATTAACTACGCGTGTGCTCATGAAATCGCCCGGAAAAAAACTTCAGGTCTTGCAACGAATGTGACATTTTCAGACTATTACATTAATATTCATAACTTTATATTCGCTACCTCAGTTGTTTCAAAGTATATAATTTGACCATTCAATATGATCAGTAATTTAGCGTATTTATATATGAAATTTTCCGTTTTATTTCACAAGTGATGACTTAATTAAGTTAATAATACATACATATTTTATGGGGAAATTCGGGAAATATTGTAGATAACTAATAATTATGGTAAACACCTTATTCAAAAATCATTATTCTTGGTTATAGTAAAGAATTTTTATCAGCAAAAATGTATAATTCATTTTATATTACAAACAAAATGAATTCAAACTTCACCCCCTCTCACAAGCAAGTGGTTATCAGGACTCAGCAGTTAAGTGGATGACGCGATGATGTTTAAAGCGAATGGTATTGGGTTCGATTAACTGGGATGCAGGCACATCCATCTGACGAGTCCTAGGTAGGACGAGACCCGCGTTCTAAATTCCACTGCTAGCCACCATCCATCTTTGTTTAAAAATACACAATATTGTAAGATATTCTTCTAATATCCATTCAACTTGTAAATATTAAAATACCTTAGTGAAGAACATTCCTAGTAGTCATTGTTCAAATTCAGCAGCGAATGCATAAGTTTCAATGTAATCAATTATTTCTTGTTTCTCCAAATATTATACACAGAAAAAAAACTATTTACCTTTCATCGCTGATTTTTCATTTTTCAGTGTTTAATTCCTTAACACAATGTAAACTTTTAGTGAAACTATAACTACAATAAATAGTTAAAATTGGAATAAAAACAAGAATTTTATTTCAATCTATGCAAAGTATCTCACATTTAATACCTATCAAAATATTAATTCTGTATGGTGAGTGGTATTGTTCAGTCATCATAATTCAATTAGGAAATTAATTGTATGCTAATGAGTTATTCATATATTGTCGTAATACTTTGTTTTATTTATTTATTTCTTTACAGGAATCGTGTATCCTAAATAATATAATTGATTATTCGATTTATGCTAATCTCTCAGTAACTATATACTAGGTCAGTGCTACAATTTACCGCAAACATATCAAGCTTTTTCTTTTTTCCTCTCCCTTCTCTCTCTCTCTCTCTCTCTCTCTCTATATATATATATATATATATATATATATATATATATATATATATATATATATAGGTCTGCCCTTCAAAACAATGTTTTTGCCTTGAAATGATCTTCATTTCCCTAGACTAATAATCCTGGTGTATGGTTTAGTCAAAAACTGTTACTAATTAATTTTTAATTTCTTTCATCATTTTAATATGATCTATCAGTATAATAAGTTTTTTTCCAATATCATTTGCTTTAGTATGCTTGTTTTCTTTCGTTCAAGTTATGTTTTCTTCCTGATGTTGTTAGTATTATACACACTGCTTTGCTTTATTTTTGTTTTCACTATCTTTATTATGTATAATAAAATGTGGATTGAACAATTTTGATCTATGTCCATTGTTCAATTTTCAAATCACCCATTTAAAATATTAGAGAAGAAAAAACAAGAAAATATGTACTTACAAAATATACACTGTAATACTTTGTAGGTCTATGTTTATTTCAATCTGGAAAGCCTTTAACGCTATATTTACATATTCAGTTGAATTTTTTCTATACTTAATTTTGTCTTTTCTGTTTACATTTGCTATATCCTTGTAAACTTAACTTTATTGACAAAAGTAATAGGGTAATTGTTTTCAAACAAATTGTTTGTTCCAATACTACTTATTATTAATAATTCTTTAATTTTAATATATGGCTTATTCATTTAATGATGACTGAAATACACATTTCATATTTTATTAATTAATATCGAAATTGTTTCTTTATAGTTACAGTTACTGTGTACAATTTTTTAAATAACTTCCCCTCACTGATTATTGATATTTGGCGAATAAAAAAGCTTCATATTTTATATGTATTTGAATGAGAATTGTAGTTTTTTGCAGCATGATCAGTGTTCTTAGTAATAATTAATTTTTTTCTAATAACAATTATACTTTAAGACACAACAGTAGACAGGAGGAATATGTTTGTGTAAAGTTACAAAGTACTTATATAATACATTATGCATAGCCTTCAATCGTTCGTTTGTACCTTTCGGTGTGTTCTGTTATTTGAACTATCTTGTCTGGTCTCCAAGTGTTCTGCCAGCATTGTGTTTTCAATGCACTGAAACTTTTTACTCCGTCTGATAATTATAGCAACTTCGATGTGACGTCCCACTACACACTACTTACAAGAAATTTTGACACTAGTGTCCACTACAGTACCTGTATTCATAGACACTAATTTAATGTTGCTTTGTCTGATAAAATTTGTTTTGGTGAAACCGAGAATTAAAAATGTTCATAAAAGTAAACAGTTTGTAAGTCATGAAGACTTAGATTATTTGTTAGTTTTAAATGAATTCGTAAAAAAGGGATGTACATTCGTTTTGTTTGTAATAGTTAATTCTGACGATTACTATATTTATTATGTGACAGTTATCAGTGATTTTTATTTTTTAGCTTTGTATGAAGATAACGTTTAAAAACTTATTATATGTTCAAGCTTTTTCTTTCTGCTGTTCTTAATCACAAATTTTCTTTATTATTTGTTAGTTAGTAGACCAGACTAGACCCGCCCCCAAATACTCTGGTACGGTCTAGAATGGGGAGAGTCAGTTCTCCCTCTCGAAATACTCACATAGCAACGCTTATACAGCGACTGACATGAAAGTTTTACTCATTGTCTCTTTGTGGCAGGGGTGTTGTTTACGAAATTGAGAGGACGAAAAGCGAATGTTCAGTGCTTTAACCGGGTTAGTGGGTATGGAAGATCCACATAGATGAGTTGGAAAACCCTGATTCCGAACCAGTGGTACATATGGGCTCCAGGATTTTGAGGGAACAAATAGTGTAGGAACTTATTGTTGGTCATTGGCTACCATTGGACTTCATCTCTTAACGTTGCTCTACTGCCTTGTATATAAAACCTTTAGGCAAAATGCTCGGGAAGTTTACCCCCTAAGAAACCACCTACTTCTATCTGGATACCCAGGCAGTATCATGGCTCACACATAAAGCGAGTGATGCACACATATGTGGTGTCTCCTTGTACCAATGTTTGTGTTTAAATAAATAAAGACTGGACTAGATAAATAAAAGCAACGTCAGAGTAATATATATATATATATATATATATATATATATATATATATATATTTGTGTGAATAAACATATGATTAAAGTTTTGTTTAATGATAAAATACTCAAGTGATGCTGACTGTTTACCTGCATTTTTTTAGGTGAGAATATCTTTATACAACTTCTTAATGCTGTACATTTTTCATTTAAATAACAGATATCATATGATATATTATTAAGATTATGAGTTTCACTCTGCATAACAACGCTAAACCGTTTTAAATAGGATTCATTGTAATTGTTATTCAAATAAAAAACCCATTAAGTTGAGTTCAAGACAATTCACTTATTCATGATTACTTCTCTAAATGGTGGGAATTATTGGCTAAAAGGAAGAATTCTTAAGATATATATTCACTAAAAGTGTGTTGCATTCTTATATTTTTGATAAGTCTCAGTACCGTATAATTTATTGCTGATTGTTTAACAAAGCAATAGCTAAATTTTGTGTTACACTGTACAGGTTTTTATGAACATGGCGTTTCGATGTGTTTATCCGCAGTAAATTTATTCCTGGCTGTTGTATTTATGATCAGAAATGCATTATTGAATAACCTACTCTTATGAGTTATATCCATATATGATCAATTTTGCCAATTTAACAATTTGAAATAAATAATAATAATGGATTCCAGACATGATAGATGTTTTGGTCGTTTTATGTGATTCCACAGTTAAGATGGCTTCGTAAATACAGATATAATTACTTTTATACGAGTGATATCTTATTCACTGTATTGGTGCAGTAAACATATATATTTATCTTAGTGACTAAACTATGTAACATATAATAGAATACTTTTACTGTCTCTCGTATAAGTAGATTCAACAGTGATAAGATTTATATCTCTTGATTTCCTGTCCGATGGACAAGTTATGTTTCTGATTGCAGTAGTATAATATATCTTATCGCTAACCAGAATCCCTAGCGAAATTTTCAAAGATGGTTATTAAAACATACGAAACACTAGTGTGAAAGACTGTAGTGCCTGAAACCAGAACTATATGCTGAAGTTTTAAGTAATCGCCACTGACTGGTCTCAGTCTCTAATCTTCCGAGTTTTTAAGGTGAAAAAAACGATTGTGCTGCAGCTAGAAATAAATCACCCTGACTTACCTATTTTAGGAAACACAATCAATGGACAGCCAAATGTTACTCATCAAACTGAATATACTGAAACTTATAGTGTTCTGTTACTCCGAGCTTTTTATGCGAGTACTTGTTATATTGGTCATGCTTACCTGTTGTAATGGCCCAGTCGTTGGTCTGAACAGACAATCAGGGAGACGGAGCGAAGAGGAGGAGGAGAGAGAAGCGAAACTGAGTAACGCGCAATGGAGGAGGCGAATAGGCCAACTCCATTTAACCAAGTGCGAATCGATATTTCTAGTCAGACAAATGTAATTTACAGGTATGTTATTAGTAAGATAAACACGCCTACATAAACACAGTCAAGGTTGATAAGCGAATAATTAAAAAGCTCAAGACGTGACTCAAGAATGGATAATTTGGCCTGACCATAATCTAGAATAAGTTATGTGGGCTTGACACAGCAACCGACACTACAACTCTACAGTAGCTAACGTGCAAGTAGTTTCAAGTTATATAAAATTAATTCGCTTACTCTATATGGTGGTTGGTTAGCTTAATAATAATTTTTCTCACAGTAATCAGTTAGAAGCTCATCAACTGTATGAATCTAAAAATAAGGTTATGTAATCGGTCAATCATAAAATTTGGTTAAGATTAAGAACTAAGAGAATTCGAAACCAGATAATCTGTGTTATCTTTAAATATTAACAATGTGTAATTAATAAAATCAGTGCAAAGAAAATTTAGGAATTAAATTATTAAAATACATATCATATAAAAAGAAGTTATAATTTATAATTGAATCGAAATAAAAAATTTGAAAAACGTATCCAAAGGGAAAAAGGCCATAGCAAATGGAGAAACGTTTTCTGTAGATGAACTTCAGGTTTGTTAATATGTGTAACCATAACTTCTACTATATGTAAAGCACGATGCCTGGAAATATGAGATGGGTTCGAAAGGAATTCTATAAATAACCTTGGAAGCTGAAGTTGTAACAAAGTGGTGATTAGTACACACTAGATTTGTTAAAACAGCTTCTCATTGTTCTCTTTTCGCCTTTGACCAACCAACAAGAATGGTGTTCAGGAATACAAAAACACATTTGCATCGTTATATGTCTAACATAAATGGTTCCATAAGAACAGTTGGACTAGGTAGTTTATCTTTGTTTTGTGAACTCACTATTGCTTAGATGAAGAGGGAAGGATGTAGTCTGCGTTAAATGTTTATTCTATTACTTTGTCGAGTATCAGTTTTCACTCAGTAGTCCATATCTAAGCGTCTTCAAATTAAATAATTTTGGTTATATTTTGCTTAGGCTCGTCATATGATCTTGTATATCCTACGATTGTCTTAATTCGCATTCTAGAGTACGTATTACAAGCGACTAAGTAAATAACAACAAATGAATAGTTGACATTTTAATTATGAATTTTTAATTTGATTACTTAAATTTCATAAGTAATATCGAAAATGCTACGTTTCCATGAATTATTTTCTACTTTAACATAAATAACAGATTTTAAAATGTATGTTTTAATTGCTACATTTTTTACAAGTTTACTTAAATGGAGTGTAGATATTTTTCTGTCACCCGAAACTATGTAATTAACGTCTGAATGTAAATATCGTCAAAACAAGTGAAACTCCCTCCTCAAACTTGGCCTACTTCTAAATCACAAATTAATATACTTAGTACAAGAATATTATGTAAACATTGTTACATATTAGTGAGGATTAAATTACGGGTAACTTCAGAGGTCTATTAATGGACTACTATTATATATATAGTATAACTATTCAGT